GGGGGGGGGGGGAAAATAGCTGAGACTTTAAAAACTTTGCCAAATACAAGATTGATTTGATAGCACATTTTCATCTCAGCTGCTTTGGTGTTTAGAATGAGAACTATAAATGGTAAGGAGTTGAAATGCAGAAGCATAGTTTCATACTGCACAGGCTATCAGCTGCTTGATTTGTTGTAAATCTACCTGGGCTAAATTTTGCAATTAAGGGGCATTAGATATGAGTTCTATCCCTATTAATTTGGATCCTCCAACTGAAGTAGAAAAAATTCAGCAGGGGGAGATAGATGAAGATATTCCAGTATAAATATTCCAGTATAAACTCACTTGGTGAATGAAACACCTGTACTTACTCCTATATCTGACTCATGCAAAAGCAGAGCTAGCATTTTATAACAGGCTGAGCTATAAATGAGAGGTGTGTCAGCTTTCCACAGACAGGAAAGTCTGAATCAGTAAAGTAAATCTGGTTCTCAATTACTTATTCCTAAATCCTAAAGGTTTAAGTGACATCAGCTTTACCAGTTCCAAAGCTGATTTTAATGTTAAAGTTTTAAGCTTATTAAAGACAATATGAGATGGAGGATTTTTCCTTAGATAATGACAGATGATCGGGTTCCTTTTTTCCCCCTGACAAAGACACTATGTGTTTAATAAAAGTATGTCAAGGATATTTGATACAGCTATCATCATGATGACATCACTACAGTAGGAAAGCAGCATCTGTTGAACATTTGCCTTTTCAGCAAGTGGTAAAGAAGCAAAGACTCCATGAAACCCTGACCTACAGCATACAAGAATGACAAAGGGAGCCTTCTCAAGGATGAAAATGGCGCTCTGAAGGAATACTCTCCCCTTAAAATTTGAGGCAGGGTTAAGATCCCCACATAATTTGGGAAAGGTCACAAGCGCTCATAGTAACTTACTTCAGAAATACTTTCAAAACCTCAAATTACAAAAACAATACTGAAATATTATAATGGTCTGCTCTATTTTACTTTTGTCCTCCATGAACAGCTAAAGATGGCCTCCAAGCAGGCCAGCAAATTACATAACTCAATTTTCAAAGGACCCTAAGGAATAACCCCAGAAACAACCTTGTTGTATTGCCATATACATTTTAGGTTTATATTTAATTTTCGGATGTGATCATTGCCATTAGCAGCATCTTGTTTTATCTCTGTGGACAAACTCTGCAACAGAAGCAAACTTTAAAAAGTAAGCTTTTTTTTTTAAACTGAAAAGAAGCAAATCGCAAGATCTTTCAGCAAGACACAAGTGGGACATACTGTGCACCGAACGTGCACGTCTCATCCGTAACCGTGAAATCACCTTCCTTAACTAAGAGGAAACCCATAACTAAGTTAGTAAAAAGGGCTACCAAGAGCTGTCCCTCGCCTGCTTACACAAGGCAGCCCGCGAGATGGTGGCAAGTTGCGTAACTAGGGAACGCCTGGCGGTCCACCCCACGCATGTCACCCAGCCTCCCTTCCTCTTCGCCCCATCGTTCAACTCCGCAACAATTTCTAAAAAGCACCTCTGGAAAGCAGGCAAGCCTTACCCAAGGCGATCGCCTTCTGAAGCGTCCTCAGCGCTCCCTGGACGTCCCCGTGGCTCACCAGCTCCTGCAAGTCCCTTTTCAACCGGGCCACCTTGGCGTCCCTATCCAAGCCCCTCTCCAACAGGTCCCCGAGCAGGACGTTCGAGCTCACCGTCCGCGAGCCCAGCAGAGCGAGCTTCTCCCCGCAGAGGCAGCACTTGGGAGGCAAGGCTTCGCCCAGGCACCTCCTGCAGAAGGAATGGCCGCACGAGACAGTCACCGGGTCCCGGAGGACCAGGCGGCAGGCGGGGCAGAGGAGAAGCTCCATGCTGCTGCTCCGCCAGAAGCGGAGGGGGCGGGAGCCGCCGGCTGAGCGGAGTTGGCAGCGCACCGCGCAAACGTCGACGGCTTCCTACGAAGAGCGACAACGAGAGGGGGCCAGAGGGACGCTTTGGCAACGCCACAACTTCATCCCTTTTTTGTTTCTGTCCTCCCAGCAAGCCCGAGCAGCTGCGGGGCTCTTGAAGGCACAGACTTCCCTCGCGGCTCCCGGGGTACCCTGGCGTAACTCTTCGCCTTGGCTTCTCCCGAGGGGAAAGAGCTGCTCGCTCAACTTAAACGATTCCTGCTTTAACTTCCCTTTGATTCAAATGCGCAGCTTTGTTATATATACATATATAACCCGCTTTACAACCAGTCCAGGCATTTGAGCAACCCGGACCCAGAAAGGCAACTCTTCAGCTTCTTCTAACTTCGCGCGCGGCAACCAGGTACGCTTTTCATTACAGCGAGCACTAAATCAACAGCGTAATCTTTTAAGACCCCGCTCCCCCCGTTGCCGGAGTATCTAAGCCCTCTCCGACCACCGCTCGCTCCGTCTCCTCCAATTAATTGTTTAACTCAGTAACAGCCCCGCGCCAATCAGTCAATCAATCAATCGGCAGTCGGCGGACAAGACCGCTCCGGAGGGTGGGTCGTTCTCTCAGCCCAGCGGGAGGCATCATCCTTTTTCTAGTTAGCGAAGAGGAGGCGGGGCGAAGGGGACAAGAGTCGCGACGTGGGACGAAGAGGTAGAGTAGGAGGGGCACCAAACCAGTAACTTTTCCGCCTCGACGCAGGAGTAGCGAACGTCTCATTCACGCCAGATCTGTCTTCAACTACCGGATTTCTCTGACGAGCTTCTGTACGGACAAAACACACACGCGTAGATTACCGAACCCGAAAAGAAAAGAAGAAAAGGCCGGAATATTACATAAAATCTGGAGCAGCCCCATGTGATGGCGTCGGGGAGCCAGCCGATTGGCTGCCGGCTTCGGCCGTCCCCCACTGCGAAACAGACGTAGCGAAGTGCGTTTCATAACCTCCGAGGAGGATGAAAGTTGGGAGCCGCGAACCTGACAGCTAGAGAAACCGGGGAGGGGGGCGGGGATTCTGCCTCCTGCTGCGTTCTGCCCTGACGTCACAACGAAGTTGCCTTCCCAAAGGAAGGCGTGTAAGCGAGGGCGTTCCGCTTCCCGCTGCGTCGTTCTGAAATTGTGGCATCTTGTGACTCTTCGCCTGACGTTGCCTTGTGTATATTATTATTCATTCCTTTGATGGAACGATATAAGCCGAGGAGTTTGAGTGTGAAACAGAGTGTGCCCGATATGTAACGGTGGTGCATAAGAGCACAGTCCCGGGCAAGTGTGTTCGCTTGTGGCCGAGTGTTACCCTCAGTGCCTAAGCATAAACACTTGCAACTGCGAAGGCATTCACTGGGCCCTCGGTTGCATTGGGCCAGTTCGGTGGAGGAGTTTACTTCTGGTGTAGTTTACGGAGCACTGTGCTCTGAAGCAACAATCCTGCATACACTTAGGGAAATTTCGAGCAGGGCCAGTGGTATGGCAGCAAACTTGACGTCTTCCCCAACACACACACAGACACAAGTGTGTGCACTAACGGACATAGTTTTCCTAAGAAACAAATTCTCAGCTTGAGGTAAACCATCCCTGGTTCCAATAATGGCGTATAGTTTATGCCAATGTTTGTCAACCTCAAAAAATTTAGGATGTGTGGACTTCCAACTTTCAGAATTCCCCTAGCAGCATGCTGAGGAGTTGGAAGTCCACACATCTTAAAGCTGCTGAGGTTGAGAAACACTGGTTTATGCCATGAGCTGGTAGAAGTACATTCTGGCCACCGAATTGGGGCAGCCACTATAGATTGATTTGGGATGTATTGAAAATATGGAAAAAGTTAAATTTATTGTTGTTTTTATTTTTACTTTCAGGGATGCAGATAAGCCAGACCACAATGGGGTTTAAAATGTGCCACCTGAATGTGGTCATGGTGATTTATAATATTTGGGGCTGCCATTTAGAAGTTAGATTACTGGTCATCCTTCCCAAAGCTGCTGCTTAATCCAAATATTGGACCATATCTCCCAAATTTCTCTAAAATTGTCCTAACTCATCTAGAAATTGATGGAGATTAGCACAGAGTAAATCACTCCTACGAGCAACAAAGTCAGACTTTGGAGTCATGATTAACCATATCACAAGAGAAAGGAAGACTTGGTAGGGTATAGAAATGCAACAAAAGTACATCATAAAAGCAGTTGCAGGAGCAGAATATTGAAGGAACATAGGAGGTTGATTTGGGGAAATGGTTCATATGCCCCTTGGTTTAACCTGTATTCAGTAGTGAGAGAAATATTCTGAGGATTGGCCTCCTTTTTAAACAGCCCCTTTTCATACAGTTTACTCTGATGAGGAATATCAATCTATCATTCATATTCTTTTGTTTGGCTAAAAACATGACAAAATGACTGGCAAGTGTTGGACAACTTTCACAATATCATTATAGCCAGTGGTAATTGCCAAAATATTAGGAAATTAACAATCATAGGTTAATTACATACTAGCACACCTCTGTAGAAGCAACTACAGCAAATCTGAGATTATGAAATCTGGTTTGGAAATCAAGAGTTACCCTGTCATTGTTTTCCTGCAGAATAATCTTTATCTCCCACAATGCTGTTTATCATTTTAAAAAGTACAGCAAATTTTCCCCTTTGGCATTTGCACATTACATTTTAGCTTAAAAGAGACTTATGAAATGTAATTTCAAAGAAAACAATCAGAAGAGCTGGTTGCCATAGTAATATACACACATCTTTGTGCAAATTAGGGACTCAAGATTTTTAAGAATCCCACAAAACAGTCCATTTCATTTATCTAAAGAGGTCAATTATAAGATAAACAGATACATTATAAATTATATGTTCCGGTGATTAAGGTCCTCTCTTTTTCATTGCTTTTATAAAGGCTAAAGTACATAACTTTTTGCATAATGCTATCCAAATTATAGGTAGTCCTTGCTTAGCAACCACAATTGGAATGGGCAGCTCTATCGCTAAGCACCATGGCACTAAGCAAATATCATGTGACTGCGATGGACTTACGACCTCACTTTCGCTGCGGTCATTAAGCAAGACATCACATTACCCTGACTTCCTATTTTACTGCCACCTTCTCCACTGACTTTGCTTGTTCCAATTAGAAGAGAATAAATGTAGCTCAGGGTTGAACTGTGGAGTCCTTGGTACTCCCTGAGCTTGGTTGTTTGCAGATGTTTCATTACCAACTGGGTAACATCATCAGTGTAACTGTGGGGTTTTCTCCCTGTTTATATACAGTAGCTTGCCCTGCTAGTGTTGGTGGGGGTATGGTTTTCTCCTTGGTGGTTCCTTGGTTAGGGTACCATTTTCTGCTTGATTGTTTTCTGGTGTTAATCCCTGCTTATCTGTGTGTAGGCTGCTGGAGAAGATGTGTTCTGGTCTTTTTGTTTTCTTTTTTTTATTGTCTCTTTTGAATGGCATGTAAATGTGATTTATCTCTATGCGTCTATTGATGGCTGCTTTGTCTGAATGCCAAGCTTCCAGGAATTCCCTAGCATTTTTTAAATTTAGCTTGGTCTAGGATTTAGCTAGGTTCCCAGTTGAAACTATGATTGAGTCTGTCCATGTGTTCTGAGATTGAGGAGTTTTCATCATGTCTTCTGATTGCTAGTTGGTGCTCGTGGATGCACTCTGCTAGTCTTCTGCCTGTCTGTCCTACACAGTGGCTGTTACAGTCCTTACATTGTATGTTGTAGATGACTCCTGTTTTTTCTTCTTGGGC